GAACAATTAATTTTCCCTCCTACACATTATTATACATGTGAAAGACTGCAGCTCTATTTCACCACCCAGGAACAGCGAGTCTGATCCATTAGAGAAACGCTAAAGTGTTTTGGGATCTTTAAGAGGGTACAGTTTTATAGAAGTGTTAGTTATTACTCGAGCTGGTTGGGAATTTTCTGTCTGACTAATTTTCTGATGGAAAATGAAGGTGGGGAGGGGCCAGCAGCAAATCAATATTTTTCCAAATTTTGAATATTTCAGTTTTTGAACGGACCCAAAAGGTTTCATTTTGAATCAGTTCTACATAACATTAAACTGTATCTGCCTATCAGCACATTGCTTTACAGGAGCTGTAATAGTCCTTCAGGAAGCCCAGTCCACAGGCAAGAATGGGAGTCTAAACTACATCTCCCATAATGCAATGCAGATTTCCCTCACATTGAGTGGTGGTCATGGGAGTCACATGTCACTGGGTGCATTATGGAACTTGACCCATAAGGGAAAAACGGGGGCATCAGGCTCCTGAGCTACAACTCCCATGATGCAATGCATCACAGTGGAAAAAATGCAGTTTTATATTGAACAGACTTGAAACAAAGTGTTTCAGGTAAGTTCAATAAACCAAAACCAACCATTTTGATCTCAGGAATGATTAAATGTTTTGTTTCAGTCAAAAATGGCAAAAAATTCTGAATTTCCTTTCCACGCAAGATTTTGAAATGTCAACCTTTTGTCCCAATTTTGCAATGAAAACAAATGTTGGAATGTCCCACAGGACACAAATATTCCAAGATCAGAATTGTTCAGAGATTCTTCCATCAAATAGGAAACAGAAGTCATTCCTCCAACTCACATGGAAAAGTTAGTGCAATATATAATGTCTTGATAAGACTTGGTATCAATAGCACTGAACACCATTCACATTGTTAGCCTGGATATCCTTACTATATACAGGCCTGGAACTTTTAATCATTACAAATAGGATCATCTGCTTCCATGGAAACAGCACATTCAACCCCTGTGGCTGAGTACCCCATTACGCTCCAAGCCAGTTCTAGCCATTGTAAGTGCAATGAGGAGGGGTTTCCAAGTGTCCTTTCAAGGCCTCAGTGGCTGGAAAGACAGTAGCTGTATCAAAGTCACAAAGGCTTTATGGCTCCCTACATTGGCTTCCTATAGAATTGAATCAAGTTTCAAGGTCTCAGTCCTTATCTTCAAAGCACTCCATGGCTTGGCCCCAGGATATCTGAAAAAATCTCAAGCTTTGGGACAGACCGTGGTCGACAATTACGCTCCCATGGTACAACGGAACTCTCGATGATAAGAGTAAAGCTTGTCTGTGCAGAAGACAGAACTTTCTCCAGGGATGGTCTAGGACTGTGGCATGAACCTGTCCAGGGACCATCACAAATCTCATTAAATTTACACTCCTAGTGCAATGTACATTTCTTTGACCTTGCCTTCTCTAATGAAAACATAGCAACAGGTACAACTGTATAAATACTTTTTAAAAAGACACCACCAAAACAAGACACTCCACTGCACACCCTTCTCCCTCGGGGAGAGGATAAAAAAACCAAACAAGACGTGACAGATGTGTAGTCACATGGCTTAATGCACAACTGGAAGGTGCTCAGATAGCCCGGTGACAAGCATTGCATAAAAACCTATAAAAAAATAGGAGGGACTAAAGTGAACAAAACAGGAAGAGTGAAGAAAGAAGAATCCTCTAGGGCTCCATCAGGCACATAACAAGGATAGAAACTCTATTTTCAAAAGAAAATTAAATGAAACAGCCTTCACATCCTAAGAGTGGGAATGAGAAAATTAATACTCAGTGGGTCTAGTCTGCCATATGGAGCAATGACCTGCAAAAACGCCCATCTCATTAAATGTACAAGAAAAGATTTTGTGGAAGAAAAAAATTAAAGGATGTAAAGAGAATTCCTGTGATCACAAAAGCTATTTGCCACAAACTAACTGAAAAATTGGCTAAGCTAGCTGGCATGGAGCTCAAGATCCTGATTGGTAATTTTCTATCTAAAAGCAGTTTACATGACTAAAATTACACTCCATGAAAGACATAAGAGATGCGCCAAAAGATTCAGCTGCATTATAATGGCACTGAACAGCACTAGGATACAGTTCTCAGACCACACCGTGAATCTTTCACGACTTCACTGAATACACAGACAGGAGAAGGGTAGTTGGATTTATGAAGCAGAAAGTCAAACATTTTAAGTTAGCTCTATCACAATCAATTTCTAGTCATGAGAATGGTGTTGCCTGCCTAATTCCCCAACCCACTGAAAAGAGTTGCTCAAGGACTCTTGGCTTATTGCTACTTCAAATAAGCATTTCAAGAGTTACAAAGAACACACACATGTATGAAAGACGCACCTCATTTTCCTGTTGCCACTCAAGAGATTGCTATTACTAAGTGCCCAATGGCAAGCCAGAGACTGCATTAACAAAAAAAATATTAGTTCAGTATTTCTGCTTGTAGGCTCTTAAAAAGTTTGGTCCCATCCAAAGCAAACAGCAGGCTTCTCCACACGTATCACAGGGCTGGGGAAGGTAGAGAAAGAAGAGAGAAGGTAGGGTGAGGTCCAACACAGCAAAAGGCCACTGGAAAGGAAGGAGGACTGGAAACTGTTCGCCTAGCTACTGGCCACAGACAGAACATCTGCAGGAAATTTTGGCGGAAGTAAAGGCTTAAGTCAGGAAGTCATCTTTCTCTATGAAGACATGAAAAGCCAGGACATTGTACAGAGTGAGCAAGTAGTATAAACACAGATACATTCCACTAGGCATACCAAACATTTCCTGTAATTAACAGGGAACAGTCTGACTATGTGATGGTTAAGCAGCTTTAGACAAAAGTTAGTTGAGGTTTAAGGTATTTGGATACGGCCAGCATGGCTGCCGGGTCACTAGCTAGCCAGCGTTCACTAAGGAGAAGCCCTGGCTAGCTAGGAATTGGTAAAGGGTTCCACAGTATTAGTTTGTCAGCTGAAACCTTCTAAAATGCTTATGTTTGGTCTTCAGGCAAGTAGTTTGCTTGTTCCTTCCTTCTGGAGATGGAAGATGTGCATACAGCTACAGCAGGGCAGGCCTGACCCAACATCAGCTTCCAGCTGCATCTAACCAGCCCATACTCTCTCAAGACCAGCTTCAGATCCCTAAGGAAGGTGGTGTAGCAATCTGGGGAATAAATTTGTCTCAAACTTATGAATTTTTTGTTTTGTGAAATATTTATGATTTTAAACTTTCAGTGTGTATCAGAACCCCCTTTTTGGTAGCAGAAAGACTGTCTGGGAAGCTGAAACAGGGCCATCAACACTGGACAGTTCTATCCTGACGGGACACTAAGCTTGCTACTGGTAGAGCCACTGACTTAGCGACCTCTGCCTGACAGCAAATAGTGAGAGGTCAGAACATGGAAAATCCTCAGTGGAAGAACTGAAAAGATGTCTCCGACTTCTTTTAAAGGGACTGGCTCCTTTGCTTAGAGCGTATGTCAATTTCCAAAAACAAGAGACAGGGAGGATGGTGGCAGGAGGGGCATGCCTTTTCCCAAGGACTTTTGCGGTGGGAGCGGGAGTGAGGGATTGTATTCTGGCGTTTGTTTTGCCTAGATCTGTAACTCTCCTGCCAAGACGGACGAAAGAGTGCATTGGAGAAATTCCTGTGCAAAGCCTGTGTTCCTTACTTTGCCTACCATATGTCCCCAAAAAGTTAAATTACAAATCGGAGCGGCCACAGGAGGGGAAACTCTGGGGGAGCATGCATAAGCAACTCTGAGGTTTGGAAAGTCTTGGCACTGCTCTTGGGACTAGGGCAATTGCACTGCAGAAAGCCAAGTCCCAAGGAAGGATTTCAGGTAGGGAGTCTGCACCCAGAAGTATTCCCTAGAGGCTCAGAGCTAGAGACAGTGCTTTGCCCGGGCAGCTCCAGCTCACTTGGAAGCATGCAGGATCCAAAGGTTGGTCCACTTATCACAGTCGGGTGACTGTCCACTACACAGCCTCAGCTAGGTCGGTAACAGACTGGTAGTCTACCATCCCTATAGGTCTCAGACTCATACCAGCTGTAAGCCCAGCTTACCTTTTGACTACCGATCTCTTTAGGAGTGCTAACAACACAGCAAGCCACAAGCATACTCTGCAGGTGGAGGGGAAGACACAGTCCAAAGAGAAGCACTCCTGAGGGAGACTAGAAGGGAAAGATGATCAACCATGGACTATGTGGTAAATGGGCTTCCTTGAAAGATACTCTGTCATGGCACATCTCGGGGGTGAACTGGGAAATATAAGAAGGGGTGAGCTTTTCCTGGCAGAATCATGTGCTGATTTACATTGGCCTGAAGACCCAGAGAACACAAGGGTGCAACAAAATGAGAGTTCAAGGGATGCGACCTTACCAGAATGAAGCAAATAGAGTGAATGTTTTCACCAAAATAAAATTAATGGGATCATTTTGAATATCTATCTAGATAGTTAAATCCCCTGCCAAACCCATGCAAGGGATTTATGAAGAACTGTTTCTCCATTTTATGAAACTGAAAAAGTGAAACTGCAAATCATTAAAAAAAAATCCTGCTACCCCAGCCAGCTCAACCTTCATGGTTAAAACAAGATGCAGACAGTTCTGCATCAGCATCACATGCTGTAGAGTCCAGTCTGACTTAAGTGTGTTGATACACTGCCATGACTATTTGGTGGTAGAGAGATTCTCCAAACACAGCAGGTCCAGCAAGTTTTCCCAGCTGGTAACAGAAGACAGGAGAATATAGAAGACAGGCTACACTTCCTACACATGGGTTATTATCCAGCGGTTACATGCTTGCACATCTAAACCACATTAAAACCCCAGCTTCCCTCTCCCTACTGCAAAGCAAGCCATGCAGAGCAAGTAAAAGGCAAAGGCCTCGGGTGCACAGGCAGAAAGCATGGAGCAGACAGGAAAGATGCAAGGCTGGAGTGGCTGCTTTAGCTTACCATACGTCTCGGATCTACTCTCCTCCGAGCTAGACTTTGTCTTCTTGGAGGAGCTATCTGCACAAGAGCAGGAGAAAAGGAGAAAGAGAGAGAGATACAGAAAATATGGAGACCAAACATGAGAAAAAAAAACTTCAAGGAAAAAACAGAATGATTTTCTATGATCAGGTTAAATCGTGCAAAACACAAATAGGGTATGAACAACACATAGGTGATAACACTTGGAATAAGTGTGAATAATGCAAGTGTGAACAACACGGGTAACCTCACACTGGGAGGGTCTATCACAGAAGACAAAGTGGAATAAACCAAGTTCTCTCCTATGCCAGCAAGTGAATTGGAGAAGTTACTCTAGGTAAAAGTCTTGGGGGCATACAGACCCCAGAGCAATCATCTTTACCATAAAACAGCTTGCATATATGAAAGTGCACAATGCTTGGAATCCATCTTTAGAAAGGCATGAGTGTTATGGAGGCTAGAATAAAGAGTTTATCTACCAGACTAGACCACAGATACGTTAATGGTAGGGCAGAGCAACAGCCCTTAAAAGCAAGAGAATGGGTACTGGGATTAAAAGGTCCCAGGATCATCTGCTTTGCTTTCCAGGCAGCCAAATTCTAAACCTGAAGTTCAAAATCCTGTGACCTTCTCCCACGCAATCCAAATCTAAATATTTTACTTTTACCTAACCCTAAAGAGAATTGAGATACTCATTAAATTCCCACCACCCCTGGAAAAGTGCACATTAGAAGCCCATTTTAAATGTATTTGTTCTGCACACTAGAAAGGAACCACGCAGCTAGTGGCAGAAACGTTACAACAACATGGTTTGCAAACAGTAGCTTGATCCACTCTGTGCAAGAACACTTCCTTCATATCCCAGTCTACAAACTTCAGATTCTATTCTGACCTGTTCCACAGACCCTAGGGAATAGCAGGACCAGAGTGCACAAACATGAGAAACACACTGCATGGGGCCTGCAGGCTTACACGCAAGAGCCTGTCAGACAGTTTTAAGAACACACAGCAGTCACTGGGTTAGTGGTTTAGGGGGAGAGGAAATAATCTTTGCATGCAGTCCAGTGCCCAAGACAGCATTAGACTCTGAAACTAACAAAGATGGTCCAGATTTCACAGAAGGGCATAGAAAGAGGAGGAAACAGAGAAAAAAAAAAGGGACACCATGTCCATGAAAATTAAGTTTTATTTAAAAAATTGAGTTCTTGAGAGTGCAGCTTCATCCTTAAGGATGCAGAGAAGGTTCAAAACCCACTGGGACTGGAAGTCAGTTGCTGCTGTGACCACACGACCTTTTACGTATTCGCATTTCCTCCACCAAGTAAGACCAGCCACAAGCTAAAATATTTGCTTCCTGAACATTTGGGCTATTTATTTTATTTCTTAAAAACAACACACAATTTAGGTCATTTACTGGGGTTACTAGTCTAGATTTATTTTTGCACAGATGAAAGCCACCTTGTGCAAGGTCACGCCAAATTCAGTCACCCACCTTTGCTGCAAAGTCTGGGTATAATATTGAAAAGGAAAAAAAATGAAAAGCAGCTTTGCAATCAAATAGAGAACAATAGCTCCTGAACATTATGCCTATTAGAGCTCTTTACTCCAACCCCCAATAACTTTTAAATCCTGCACTCTCATCTGGGAAGTTTTGAAACCTTTACCTGTCGGATCAAAGTCGTGTGCACTACTGCAGCGTTCAACCTTCTGTTTCTTGTCAGCTGGAGTCTCTCTGCTCAGAATGCTGCCATGCCTATGTCAAACAAAAGCAACTGATTTTGGATCACTTCACCATAGGACCGTCGGTTATAGCTAAAACTTTCTTTGTAAACTGCAAGTAGCCTCAGTTAAAAACAAACAAACAAAAGATACTGAGAAGACATGAAGCAACATTTGAGTTAACAGTCAAAGATAGACACCAAATTCTGAAAGGGAGAAGAAATTTTCTCTCCCTCAGATAAACAGTGCATTTAACCTTTTAGCTTTCCAAGTGTTAAAAGCAATTAAGCTTATTGGTTGTGTAATAATTTGCCAAATTTCACTTTAAAAATGAAGCCAGTTTATAATTTACAAAGGGGCAAAAGAGCCATCCAAAAATCATCAGTTCCCCCAACCCGGCCTTAAAACTTCATTTCAAAATGGAGACAAAGATTTAAAACAAAAAGCCTTCATGCAGCAAGAGTTTGTATATCAGGCTCAATCCTAGAGTCACATTCTAGGACCATCTCAAATCCCAGATAAGTTGAGTTGGTGTGCATAGCAAAAATGCTACAGAAACTGCAAATGGTAACACTAAACCAGGCACTATAAATGTCACCAGCTATATTTTGAGCATTCAGTTCCACTGATTCCAAGGCCAGAAGGGACCACTGTCACCATTTAGTCTGACCTTCTGTATAACCACAGACCAATTTGTGCACTTCATTTACTTAAGTGAGCTATGGACACTGCTCCAAATATTTTTTTAAAGTAATTTTATAGTGCAAAAATGTCATCTTGAAGCTTGCAGTACAGTAGGCAACCAAAACCCCATTATCTTACCTTGTAGGTTTTTTGAGAGGAAACCTGAAAAAAAAGAAAGTGTAGTGAAATACATTTTGCTTCTTAATATCATAGTTAACGTTAATAAAGACATTCTGCATGTCTGTAATGCCTTTCATAAGACGATCCCCAAGTCCTTTACCTTGCTAATTGAACAACATAACTCCCTCTTTGAGCCTTCACTATGCTCATTTTACAGTTGGGTAAACTGAACTAAAGGAAGTTTAACATTTACCCAAGGTCTCACAGCTAGCCAATGGCAGATCTGGGGTTAGAACCCTTGAATCCAGTACCCCAGGCCCATTTTCTTATCAATAAACACCATACCTCCCGCAGCATCCTCTCTCATAAAAGGAGAGGAAAGGGTGGAAATCAGCAATTTAGACAATGAGGCAAAGCAATCAGGAGACCTAGAGATTCTGTTCCTAGCACACTGCCACTCAATTCCCATGTGTGACCTTTAGCATGTAACTTAACTTCTATGTGCCTCAGCTTCCGTATCTGCAAAATGGTAATAATACTTCCTGAACTCTCAGCAGTTTTAGGAGGCTAAATTCAATACTGTTTGTCAAGTGCTCTTAGATTCGTGTCTGGAAAGCAGTACAGAAGTGAAAAGTAGTATAGTAAAATGGACATAGATCATTTAAGGTCACATTTTGTCCGAAATTATTTTTCCCTATTGTTACTAGTAACGCTTAGGATTACAATAAGTGAAAGATTAGAGGGAAATATTTTCCTCCTTTTCCCCCCCCATTTGTTTGCTTTGTGCATTTGACAGCACTTAACGTAGAGTCCGTTTTTCCTGTTTTGTCTGGGTTTTTCCTCACAGCAACAGAAGAAAGGAAAAGACGACTAAATTAAAGAAGGAAAATGTAATCAAATAAAAACTGGAAGGCAACACTTAACTGATTTTGTTTTATCTACTAGATTTTAACTGGACCAAGTTCCTTTAATAAAATCTGCTCAGTCTCCCGCGGAAAGGTGGTGTGTGTTAGAAAAAAGGAAAGGCATTTTATTAAAGCAGGCCAGTCCTGAGACTAGCATTTCCAACCTCAGACTCAATAAGCAAGTTGAAGAACCCTGAGCCCATGAAAATGACTGACTGGGCCACATTCAGAATCAACCTCCTCTCCCAAATGGTTTTCTGGGCTAGCAAGGAGTCTCCCCACACAAGATGACTATTTACAAGCTGCTTCATGCTTAAAGTTTTCTGTTTCCTAAGGAAAAAAGCAGTTGACCACCTGCTTTCTGCCCAGTACCAAATGCATCTCCTGTGGCCTAAACAGAAGTGGTGCCTTTACACACCTGTGACATCACCACAATTACTTTAAAATGGTAATTAAATTCAACCTGATCTTATCACTCACCTAATCCCTCTCTTCAGGTAAAAGGAACCCACATAAAAGATGTACACATACAAAATGCCCACCACCTGTGCCAATCCTCTACTCAAGCACACTGCTATAAACAAATCCATCCCTTCCCACAAAAGGCTGACAGGAGAGGAAACAAACTGAAATTACAACTCTCCAAAAGGAGCACGTTTTCCATTTAAAAGACATACATACACCAAGCCAAACACACTGGCTGTAAATACAGCAACAAATCCAAATAAGAGGCTGTGAAGATCTAAACACTGAGAATGCAATGTTGGCTTCTCCTTCCCCAAAAAATTCAGGAGATCCCTTGCTTAAAATTTAACCACTGTGTCCTAAATGCTTACCCAGCCCAACCTCTCCCCATTCTGCTCCACCTGGACAGTTCATCCTCCCACGGGTGTTTCAGGCAGCTAAATCTAACCTAGTCCTACAGATTCAGTGATAAACTGAGATGCAATAACAAAGGGTCTGACTCAACAGTAGAATGAGCGGACAGTGGATCTAGGGAAGAGCAGGAGGGGCAAACCATTAGCTTCCCAAAGCCTGATGCAATAATAATTTCTCTTACAAGAACTTATAGTATCACAGGGTGTGTCACAAATATTTGAGTGGCATCTGATAGCTGAGGCACCCAAATTTACATTGTTATGTGTTTTGCAAAACCTATTATTAAATAGAAACATTTATATGAAAACAGTTTTCCCTTACAGTGTTTCCAACTCAAAACGTTGTTACATCATACTAGTGCAGCCAGAAAGAGAAATAGATTACAAAGCAAAATAAAACTAGCTCTTTTACGGTTTTATTTTTTACACTTCTCTATCCTCCCCCTAACAGCATAAATGAGGAAAGTAAATTGAGTTTTAGTAATGTAAAGTGCTATGCTACAATTTGTTTGTTTTCAAAAGAAGTCCATAAGCATGTATTCAGGGTTTTCCTATAATTAATTAAGGCCCTGATTCAGCAAAGTTCTTAAGTACAAGCTTAACTTCAAGCACATTGAAGTCAGTGGAACAGCTGATGCACTTCAAAGTTAGGCATGTATTTAAACACCTTGCTGAATCAGGCAGGGTCCAAGCCTCAGAGCATTCCTATATGACAAGCAATTATTATCCATTTACAATGGGCCTGCTCGTCCTGGCAGAGTTGCTGCCAGAGAAGAAAGCAGATTGGTTTCTTTTCCGTGGGTTTCAGCACTAATCCTGGGATCGCACGACCACAGTGTCTCTCACCTTTAGCCTCTGTCTTTCCCTCACGAAAACTCCACTCTCCAGAACAATGCCGCATGCGTCAAGGGGTGCACTGTTCCAGAAGGATTCTGGGATAGATTCCCGGAAGCTCCCCAGCCACTGGCTGCAAGCCAATTTCCTGAGTTTCTTTTTTCTCTCAAAAAGAGAGGGGGGGGAGGGGAGGGAAGCAGGGCAGGCAGCAGGTCATGATCACAGTGAAGCCTCTCACAAGCCTACGAGTACCCAGCAAACTCTAGAAATACAGGGAGAGACGAGGAGACCTCAAATTTCATTCCTCCAGCGTACAATCACTGCATTTCTGCCTTGAATTACTGAACTTTACTTCAGAAGCAGAAGTGTCTAGTCAAGCTAACAGACCAGGACTGCATAGGAACTTGGGTCTTTGTGTTAGAGCTGAACCAGAGATAAGCTCCCTTATATAGAACAACTCTGAACAAGCCCTGAAGTAGTTCCAGACCACTGAATTACAGACCCACCGAAATTAAGGGATGGAAGAAATCTGCGGAGTTTAAGACATTCAGTAATCAGACTGGGGAGCATTCAGCACAGGCTAAGTTTCTACTTTTCCCACATGCTCCCACTGTGAATAACTCCTAGCATTTCTTGGTTTGCTGAAGATATCCTTCCATGCTTAAATACCAAATCACTTCTGTACTATGGTAATAGGCACAGTATAAGAAATTAGACTGAGAAATGACGTATATTGAAAGTACCTCAAAAGAGATTCCAGAATGACGCAGACAGAGCTGCCACGTGACGCAGTACGATTTGAAATATCTGATTTTCTTGCACTCTGAGGTACCTTCAAACATGCACCAGGAAGCATCAGAAAGATTTCTCTTTCAGGGAAATAGGGAGGAATGGTGCTTAACTGAGAGCAAAAGATAAAGCACTAAGTGATTAATATAACCTTATTTCTCTGCCAGATGCCCACCACAGTCTGCAGGTATTCAGCAAGTGTTCACATGCTTAACTCAATTTTTATTTGATGTTCACCCTTCATCCCACAAAAGCCAAAAAGTTGTTCAGAGGTAGTGCTGAAAGCTCAGCTTGAACTCACCCCCTTGTACCCAAACAACACAGTAGATTGTGCATTTCACCTACCATTGCAAACCCACTGCAGGCTGAGATTCAACTCCAAATCTGACTGATAAAAAACCTTTGTGGACATTTTGTCTGAAATGCCGTTGCGCATCAGCACATTTTCAAACTAGTCGTTCTGCACTCTCTATGCCTCCCAAATACCAGAAGTGATTAAGAACTATATCAAATTTCATTTTCAAGTAATTTAAAATCACTTGATATATTTGACTTAACGTGTCAGACTATTAAAAGTATGCCTTTATCAGTCATAAGTATGTTAAGTAAAATAAGTTCAGTAATGAGCAATTTGAACAAAAATACAAAACCTGCAATACTAGAGACTGAAAATTAACTGCTCTAAAGTATCTCCCTCACACACACACACACACACACACACACACACACACACACTCACTCTCTGCATTGGACCAGAGCCTAAAAAGCACCACCTAAGCCAAGAGAAAAATAATAGTTTTAAGATTGTGTGTGTCAAAACACACCAGGGCTAGGAAGGATTCCCAGCTTTCCAACAGTACAAAGCATTCCATTCTAGCCCTGAAGGTTGAAAATATATCAGGCCATAAATAGCACATTGTTCAGAGAACCATGTCGGGTTTTATTCCGGCTTGATTTCTAGCAAGGTTTTAGTACCTGCTTTCTCAAAAACTGATCAAAGAACAATATTTTGATTCAAACTTGGGCCCCAAACTTAGAAAAAAACATATGTATTTGCATAACTTTAGCCTCATTTACATCACTCGGCCTACTCACATGCTTAAAGTCAAGCTTGTGTGTAAGTTATTGCTTGCAGGATTGCAATCAAAATTATTACAGCTTGTGCTGGTGTGAGTAATTTAGAACATGAAATTTGCTCAACAGGGATGAGCAAAAACTGCTTGCTTGACAGAAATAATCTTTAATTAGGAGAGGAATAGTAGCATTGAAAGCATTGTGGTTACTTATTAGTAGTCATTTAGAAAAAGAAGTTGCTTTTTGCAGAACCCTAAACAGGAAGGAGGTGGGGGGGAAAGAAATCATAAAGCCATCTTACTTTTTCCATGAGAAAAAGTGCTGAAAGAGAAAAGGAAAGAAAAAAAAACTCCAAGAGTTGTTCTGCTCTAAAAAGAGGCTACTTAAAATGGCACCTTGTTACCCAATAGCAGGTTATCACTGGGTATTATTAGTCAATAATGGGATCTCTGTAGATATTTAGGAGTCACATCTGCTGACTTTAGTAACAAAACAGTAAGTTTTTAGTGCTCTCTTTTCCATTTAGTTCTGCAGAGCAACTGCAGCTCAGATATGGAGCTAG